AAAACAGAGAAAAGTCTGTGATAAAAAAATAAAAAATAAAAAAGGTATTAAATGTAAGTAAAAAAAAAATGTTAAAAAATAAACTTGACAGTTTAAGATGCAGCATTTAAAGTTAAAATATCTTAACGTGCTCATTTACATTCATCTGAAAAATATCCAAGTTTTATAAACCAATCTGACATTTTGAGGCATTTTCAAGACGCCTAAACGAAGTGACGTACGATGAAGGCGCGAGGAGAAACAAGAATTATATGTATTTCTTTTACTTTCTTTTGAAAAAAGAGAATCTGGTACAAAATGCTGCGTTCACGGTCCAAAGGCAGAAACAAAGAGAGCCTCTGAGCTACAGGACAACACTGACATCTAGTGGACATTTTGTGTCACTACATAACAAATGAAGGTCCAATAGTTTTTTCAGGGCTAATATTTATTAGATTTTTTTTGTTTAAATAACGTGTGCCTTTCATAATTAACTGTTATCACAATATTTAAAATATCTGAAAAAATATTCAAAAAACGTGAATAATTTGTTTAAAAATTTAAATAGGCCTATTAAATTTTCTGAAATGTAAATGTTGTATTTTTTTCATTAAAAAAAATACAACTTATCGAGTTTTTTTCTATTTTTAAAATGTTGATATTTTTGTAACAGGTGATTTAAAAATATCCCGAATTAACACCTATACAATTGTAATAAAAAATGATTCTTTTCTTTTCTTTTCTTTTATTACATGTTAATAAAGTTTGTTTTTAATTGGCTGATGTTTAGTGTTAAAAGTCAGACATCTTTTGTTGGTATCAGAGTTCAAAATGTTTCTAATATGATATTTTTTCCTTTCTAAATATAATTTTATGCATGATGAAGGCTGTGGCTTTTTATTTCAATAAAACTGAAGAGGTCGTAAAATGTTATTTGTAAATACAGATCAAATCCACTTTATGAACATTTCCAACTGAATCCAATTTCTTTTAAGTGTACAATTTAAATAAAAATTATATTTTTCTCTCTCTTTTTTTTTCTCTTCAGAAAAATTTATTATTTATCGATCAAAGTTAAACCAAAACCATAAAAATAAGTCTTTTAGCCTTTTATGTAGTTCTTTTACTTTTAACCTATAATAAATAAACACACATTAATTAAGCAAAACACAATGAATGTGTCTGTCAGTGCAACAAATACATAAATAAAAAGACATAAAGAATAGTGCGGGTTATTTTCTACATCAAATCAAGACTCACGTGCAGTTTCCTGTGTTTTGTCTTCTGTGCGGCAGAGCAGTCTGGAGTCATCCTCAGACAATGACTTTAACATTTCCAGAGGACACTTCAGGCTCTGCAGGACAACAGAGAGTCCAATAAAGCCATCTCTCGGCTCTGCCTGTCTGGCTTTAATGACTTGATGAGGCTCAGTGTTTGGGTCTTTGTGTCTCGAGTTGGGCGGAAAGTCACGTTTATTCTCCAAATGCACGCAGTTGCTTTATGGCCCTGCAGGAAGGAGGTGAATGGGCTCAATAAAGGAGGGAGACGAGACTCTGCGATGACTTTGACAAAAAAAAATAAATAAATAAATAAATAAATAAAATAAACTCGAGCAGAAAGAGATGTTTGATGTTTGGGAGCAGCGAGGCTTTTGACAAGCAAAATAAAAAATAAAAAAAACTTGAGAAGTAAAAATGTTGGCCAACAATTCAGGTCAATTTAAAGAGTGACCAACAACTTTACTTTTTAAACGTCATCCAAAAAACAAAACAAAACAAAACAAAAAAAACGACTGCGCAGACAAAGCACAATCAAATATATGGAGTATATTATTTTATTTGTAGTAGAAGCATTAGTAATATTTTTAAATTAAATACTAGAACCAGATTGTACAACTATCAATACTAAATGGTAAATGGACGATAACACCATCGTTTCAGCTCTTTACAACACAACCTGTGTCCTCCCATTCATACAGCACTCCAAATAATAATCAGTGTTTTAGATCACATTCATACACTGATGGGACACACATCCGAGGCAATGAAGGAGTCAGTGTCACTTCATCATGTGACTGCTGCTGGAATCAAACCCTCAACTCTGCCATTGGAGAGTTGCAGAGAAAATTAACAGCACTGTATAAAGTTAAAAAGCTTCAAAAATAGAAAAACTAATCTGTCGTCTAAACTGTAAGAATGTATTTACAATGAAAGAAAACCAGACAGTTCAGAATGAACAAAGTTGTGATTTTTTTTTAAATTTATTTATTATTTGTTAAAAAAAACAACAACACAATGAGCAGCATGTATTGATGAACCCATACTTCATTTAATGGCAGCATCTTTACAGAACCTGCTGCCCGTCTTTGTGTTGCTCTGAGTCCAGTATGAGAAAAATAAAACAGAGACACCTTTAAAATACTCCTGATGAAACAGACACGTGGTCTTATTGTCGCTCACATTCTGAACAGTTGTGCGTTTATTGTTTCCTCCTCAGAAAGCTCCCCAACAGACTGCTGCCACGCCATATAGCTTATGACTGGTGTGTGTGTGTGTGTGTGTGTGTGTTTATGGAGAACAATCTGCATATCAGAGTCACAGTAACAACAGCAATAAGGACAACAGCAACAGCAACAGTAACAACGATAAAAATGCCTGTGATGAGGCAACATGCACAGTTTACCAAATAATAACCATAATAATAATAATAATAATAATAATAATAATAATAAGGTAGGTATGAATGTGTTTAAAGTCCTCTCTGCTTCAGAGGAGACCGGCTGTGAAAGACTTGGTGCGTTTCTTTTTCTGTTTTGATCATTTTTTTTTACAAAATATCACACTTTTGTTTTATTTTCATGGTTAGTTACACGACAAAATTAGAGTTACAAACTGAAGCTATGAAATGTTCCAGATCTGGAGCTGTTAGAATAACAAGAATAAAGGGATTAAAACTGAAACAGGAGGTTTTTGTCCCACTTTGTTTAACCCTGCCTTCCAAAACACAACAGATTCTGGTAGCATCAAATGAAAGGGTAAGTTCGAACAAACATATAAGATGTCAAACACGATGAATATTCTTATTTTGAAAGCATTTCCTGCCGCACAGATCACGGTGGAGTTTTGGAATATCGACCCGTTCGTTGTTCCTGCAGCTCCAGCTGCTGAACAGATGTTATGCTTTGGACAGTTTAACACCTGGACTCTTTGACTTCACAGATGTTAGAAGGATTTGAAGGTGGGGTCATCTTGTGGATTAAAGCCTTAAAGTATGAGTTGGACGGCTGCATGCGTCGCATCACAACCTCCATGACGACGCCTCACAGGCCGTGGACGAACACAAGGATTCCTGCAGCTCGTGCTCCTCTACAGGAAGCTGCTTTTAAGATTTATGGGACATTTCAGATTCTCATTCTTCAAAACTACAGCCCATCTTGATCAAAATCCTCATTATGTGTGAACAAGTTTCCCTTTCATGGACCAGCTGCAGTTTCGAGCTCAAATAACAACGTTGCTTTTCAGTTTTTTCTTTCCAAACATACAATTCTTCAAATCTTGCCCTCATCCTACAAAGCATAAATGATGAAATCTTGGAGTTAGCAGAGTGCTCATCCTCTGTTTACACCCAGAGCTTCATCCGTGTTCCCAATCTGACGTCTGCTGTCATAACTTAACTAAGACTTCAATTCAAAAATGTGCATACAACTCAGAAAGAACTATTGACTGGTGACATTTTCAATCTCTATATCAAAACCCGAACGTGAACTAAAGGGTTCTGTTTCAAGGAGGGTGTGAACACGTTTCTGTCACCTTTTCTCCTTATTGCGGACTCCGTCATGGGATAAATGACATTTTTATGTAAAACCATATTTGTTTTTCAAGCGTGTGATGCCGTGAAGTCAGTTCTTTCAACATGCCACTTTTAAAAACCTTCACATTGTAGGAATGTTTGGACATTTTAAGAAAAGCTGTTAATGAATCCTCTGTTTTTGTCTTTGCTGCTCCTTTATCTGTCCCCAGTTGGACTGTTGATTTATTATTAGGGTACCACGTTACAACAAGGCTAGATGGCTAATAAATAGTTTATATATATGTTATTAATTAATCTATAAACACTTCATAAATCAATAACTGCTTATTATGCATTAATTAAGGGTGACAGAAATTAAACTGACCAGTTTCTTGCCAAACAGTGAGTCAGATCTGTTCACGTATATATTTCATCCATAGCTGTTATATTAAACATTTCAGACTAACTTATACCTTGTAAGCACTATAAGCATTTGTAAACCTATTTTTAGTATATAATATTAGTTGTAGATACTTATAGTGCAGTGATAAAGTATAATATTATATGCTAAAGAAATTAGGTTTGCAAATGCTTATTGTGCTTACAAGATAGCAGCTTAGTCTGAAATGTTGAATATAACAACTCTAGATGAAATATATGGTGAACAGATTTGACTCACTATTTGACAAAAAAACTGGTCAGTTTTGTCTCTGTCACCCTTAATAAATGCATAATAAACAATTATTAATGATTTATAAAGTTTTTATAGAGGAATTAATATGAGGAGCCTTATTGTAAAGTGGGACCATTATTAGTCAGTGATGTTTGATTGTTAATAGGATTTATTTTTGCATCACCTTGAATTGAACTTTACTTTCTTGTGGCTGGATGATAAAAAAAAAAAACATTTTATGTGGACTGAAAGTGTTTTCAGCTTTAGTTGCCACAGATATGAGACCTTATCCAAAGCAGATGTGGGTTAAAATGAGCACAAGCTTTGATTTAAACTGCGTTTTAGTTGTTCTATTTTATAAAACTATTATTTACAACTCCAAGTCGTCCTCCTTTTGACCCATGCAGGTGGAAGAATTCTTCAGCAGAGCTTCTAACACAAACAGAAACAATAAGAAATATTTTTTGACACATGGTCCAGGTTCACTCCATTATCTTTGTTCAACTGGTTTGACTTTTGTCTTCCATCAGAAACAACTTGACCTAACTCAGACAATAATAATAACAACAATAATAATAAGAAAAGAAATATAAAAAAACACCCAGCCTCTGCAGCCATCAGTCATTCATACTCCTCCTCTCCCGGATCATCAGCTTCTTCATCTTCATCCTCCGGTTCTGGAACCAGATCTTCACCTGTCTCTCTGTCAGGTTTAGGAGTCCTGCCACCTCCAGACGCCGGTCCCTCGTCAGGTACATGTTGTACAGGAACTCCTTCTCCAGCTCCAGGGTCTGGTGCTTGGTGTAAGGACACCGCTTCTTCCGGGTTGATTTGGCATGGATCCAACTGGCTGATGGGTTTTCTGGAACAGAAAGACGTGGACTTTTAATCAAACTCTCACTTTGTTTTTCTCCCTTTGTCCGTGTGAACTGCGAGGAGTTAAGTGAAAACAGAGACACACTTTAGGTCTACTTTACACCCCCTTAAAAAAAAAAAAAAAAAACACTCCAAACTTCTTAAATAAAGAAGATGATCAGTTCTCTAAAAGTCAAAACAGCCTTGGAGTATTTGTTTTATCATTTAAATAATGTGATAATGAAAGGTGGTGGCACGGTGGCTCAGTTGGTAGAGCTGTTGCCTCTCAACGAGAAGGTCACCCGACCAAAATCCCAGCTGGGGGCCTTTCTGAGTGGAATTTGCATGTTCTCTCTGTGCATGCCTGGGTTTTCTCTGGTACTCTAGTTTCCTCCCACAGATCAAATCCTGCATGTTAGGCTGATTGATAACTCTAAATTGTCCCTAGGTGTGAGTGAGAGCATTAATGGTTGTTTGTCTCGTTTGTCTCTATGTCCCTGGGATGGACTGGAGACCTGTCCAGGGTGTCCCCAGCCTCTTGCAAAGTGACTGCTGGATATGAGCACCTGTGACCCCCGCAACCCGAAAAGCAAGAAGAGGGTAAAATATGATGGATGGATGGACAACGAAAGGTTTGAGTTGTGTTTCCAGAATAGAATTCAAAATCTTACTTCTACCCTACAAAGCTCTCAACAACCTAGCTCCATCTTATATTCCAGATCTTATAGTTCCATATTTTCTTAACAGAGCACTTTGCTCTCAGACTGCAGGTTTACTTGCGGTTCCTAGAGTTTCCAACAGCAGAATGGGAGGAAGATCTTTCAGTTCTCAGGCTCCTCTCTTGTGGAACCAACTTCCAGTTTCTGTCTGACACATTGTCCAGTTTTAAGACTGGGCTTAAGACTTTCCTTTTTGATAAATCCTATAGTTGGGATTGGCTTGTTATGCTGCTATGCGCTTAGACTACTGGAGGACAAATTGATCCCATTGCCTTAAATTAATTGTTAAAGTTGTATAATTTTCATTTGATACTATTTCTACCTTAACATGTGATTCTTGACCTGCCATTGTGTATCTATTCCTCTCAAACCCAGCTGGTTGAAGCAGATGACCGCTTGTCCTGAGTCTGGTTCTGCTAAAGGTTTCTTCCTCATGAGGGAGTTTTTCCTTTCCACTGTCGCCTTCATGCTTACTCAAGATGAGAGTTCTGTGATAGTTAAATTCAAAGCAGTCTGCTCCTCAGATAAATAATGTTAAATTATTATTTTTATATGTGAATGTTTCTGTTCAGTGCCCTGAGATGACTTCTGTTTTGACTTGGAGCTATAAATAAACTGAATTGAATTGAAAATTTTCCCCAAATATAGATCATTTTCAACTGAAACAGCTAAACTGAAATTTAGACTAAAAGGCTTCAGAGTCTGTCTCAGGTTTATTAAACTGACTGAACACTGACTTATAAGTTAAAATGTGGTTATTGGATAGAGAAAGAGCAAAAAACACTTCAGGTTTTTAGGCTGCATATGTTGCTAATAACAATTTAACAAAAATATTATGTCTAAGATTCAAAAAATATTTTTTTATTATTTGAATGGTTTAGCTGTTTAGATATTTAAAAAAATATATTATTATGATTATTGCTGCGTTTGTTGTTGTTGTTGGTGTTGCAGTTTAAAACATTTTTACTCAAATGTAGAACAATGTAATTACAAGCAAAATATTATAACACAATCAATATTTAAAAACACAGAAAACATGCAAACACACAACTATAAGATTAACAATAATGCTGCTGCTGCCACTAATAAATATAACAACAACAACAACAACAACAACAACAATAATAATAATTAGTATTATATAACAATAACAACAATAACTACAACACCAAAAACGGTAATAATAATAATAATATTAATAATATAAAGCAAAAATGAATTTTTTTTTTCCAATAGCCAAATGTGCAATAATGTTTACAGAGACTTTGACTATTATGATTATAACTTTTATTAAAATTGTTTAGGGTTTGCTAATTGTTGTTGTTTTATTTTCTGTTTGTGTATCTGGAGAAAAAAGACAATAATAAATAAACATGTTTTGTTGAACTAAAACTGAAGTTATTTTAATAAAGTGGGCTGACTAATAATAATAATAATAATAATAATAATAATAATAATAATAATAATATGCTTGAAGGATGTAGGCCACGAATGACAAATTATTAAGACTAAAATGCACAACGACGTTTCTCCTTCAGAGAAGGATCAGAATCAGAAGCTTGCTGATCAGACAAGCACCTGCTGATCTTTTCCTGACCACTGAGTGAACAGCAGCAGCTTCATTCTTGGATGGATAATAAAGTTGGACATTAGACAGTTTACAGGACATTTACAGGCCTATAAAACACCGAGCCACACCTGCGTGCTCCTCACGCTCATAAACATTCGTGAGTTTAGGGACATCCGTGTTTTACCCGGCTCGAGCTGCTGCTTCCTCCCCTCGTCCTCCTCCTTCGGCTCGGCCTTGCCCCCCAGCTCCTCCACGGCCCCCAGCCGCTCCAGGACCACCGAGTCCTCGGCGTCTTGCTGCGGGGAGCTCTCGGGTTTAATCGCCTCGTAGGTCGGGCTGGAGTTGGACAGCACCCCCCGGGTGGGGAGACACGCAGGGAAGCTGTTCGGGACTTGGGACAAAGCGCTGTCCGGGGTGGGGGTCGCCCCCTCCCAGCAGCGGACGAACCTGCTCTCGGACGCCGCCGCGGGCGCGAGGTGCTCGGCGTGGCTCGGCGCCTGCTGGGGGTAGTAGGGCTGGTGGTGGCTCAGGAGGGGGTGGGGGTGGAAGAGGCCGGGGAGGGGGGCACCGGGACCCGGCTGCAGCTGGGGAGACGCCGAAGAGGGGGTGTTCGTCCAGGGAGAAAAGCCATTGAGGCTCGGTTTGTTGGAAAAATGTGAAAAATCCGGGATGTTGGAGGCAGCGGGGGCCTCCTCCTCCCCCCTCTCCTCCCCCCTCTCCTCCTCCGCTCCCCGGGCCGGCTTCGAGCAGGCGGCCGAACCCTGCAAGCCTCCCGGGATGAAATGGTACGGCTCCTCGCCCTGCAGACCCATCATGGAATAATAATTCGTTAGCGACATGTTTATTTTATTATTTCAATAAAAAGCCACTTAGCGCGCCTGTAAAAGAGAAGAGGGGCCGGAGCGGCTGCATCCTCCCCAACATGCTCTCTGCCCCGCGTCCCCTCCGCTGCCCATTGGTTACACCGAGGATCACATGGTTGGACTGTGTGGAGATAAATCACCGAGTTCTTTTGTTAGGAGATGCCACACAAAACGGGCCTTGCTGCAGATGCACGTGAACGCAGCACGCTCTTCTTAAAATGACGCTTTAAGAACTGAAGGACTTCTTGAAGCGATGGACGTGGATGTTGTTGAACATTTTATTTCAAATCTGGCTTTTTTTTTAATTTTTTTTTTTTTTTTAATTAAAATTTCAATAAAAGATCAAGTTACGACCCTGGAAATTTATGTTTACCATAACGAGTTTGTTGCCTTCATCTTTGTCTCAAATTAAAATAGACCCTTTAAATGAATGTTAATGGTTTTAATAAACACCCTAGACACGATTTGTTTCCGTGAGTAACAAAACAGAACCTGACTCTGGACCTGCAGTTTGGGACAGAATAATGCATCTGAGGCAGGATCTGTGCTGCATGAGCTGTAAATGAATATGATCAGATGTCCACGGTTGTGATTTGTAACTAAAGTTGAATTTTGGAGTCTGAATAAATTCATTTTTGAAGTAAAAACAAACACACACAGAGTTCTGAGTGAGAAAACTAACTTTAATTATCTTTATTAACAAACATCATGTGTGATTATGATTTAATTTGAAGAAAATGTTCACATCTTCAGCTGGAAATTTTCATGAAAATTGAATATAAATGGTATGAAAAGTGTAAGAGTGAAGTTAACGACTCTTTTCTTCTTAAAGGACAATAACCACAAAATGTAAAGAGGTAGAAAACACAAATGAATCGAAAAATATTCCAACCATGTGCACCAAACCCTGGATTTTATTGTTTAATATATATATATAAAAAAACTTTTTATTTAACTCAATTCTCAAAAACTAATTTTCTTTACATCATAACAGTGGAACGCTGCTCATGCTTTGTGTGTCTGTCACTCTTCAAATTAACTAATGTGTGCAAATAAATAATAAAAACTTAAAGACCATTTTAATGCCGTGTTTATTTGACATGGATGTTTTGATTTTAGGCAAATTGAAGCCATTTTTTTAAAAATGATATAGATAAACTGCATCACCAGTGTTTGCAGGTCTTTGAAGAAAGCAGAGAGATGAATGAATTCATTTGGACTGAAGCTCACGTGCACGGAAAGTGAGAGTCACTTTTCTTCGGTTTCATTTGGTCTGAGACAAATGCAGCAGGTCTTGATAAGGATTGGGTTTCTTGTGCATTTAGAGCTTCCTATAGATGATCAGGCAAAATCAGAACAGGCATTTCACAACTTTTAGGTTGTGTCAAGTCTAATTTAAAAATATTTTTACTGATTATTACAGCAAACATCTTGGCATTACATTTCAGCTGAGCAAAAACATAAACTAATTATTGTGTAAATATGAAATAATTGTGTCTTCAGTTTCATCTGAAAAAATATTTAAATGTTTAAAGGCCGATGAAGTTAATTTAGCTGCAAACTGAAGATCCAGGCCGGAGGAGACTAGTCAAGTTGTTCCAGGAAGTGAAGAAGATGAGGGTGAAGATGAAGCTGCTGTGGAAGGATGCTGAGGAATGCTGGCAAGTTAAAAAAAACCAAGTTAAATGAAGAAGCCATCTTTGTTTTCTCATTTAATACATGTTTATTGAGCACTTGTGTCTTTGTATCATATTTGTACCACTGAGTCTCGTCAATGAAAAGTTCACAACAAAGTCTCAAATCCCAAACTTGAAATGTTTTCCTCATCTCCAAGTGCTACGAACATATCTCACCATAAGAAAACATTTGGAGTACTTCAAGAATATATATATTAGCAGTCAATCATCACTGCTGCTGCAGCTCTACCATCTGGAACGCCCTGCCTGCTGCAAATGAAACCATTAGTTTGCTGTCGAGTTGAATTCCTTTCATTCCAACCAGACTTCTCTTTATTTTCCTTCTTGAACACACACTAAAACACCCCCCTGTTCTCCTGCAGACTGCGGCTGAACGTCCGGGACAAAGAGGCAGCAGACGACCCCCAATAAAAGCCATCAGCTGGAGGTTATGACAGCAGGCTGTGCTGTGATGTGTTCGCGGTTCAAGGTTTATTTGCAGCCTTGGACTCTTTGTGTTTTCTGCTGTCTGGACCCCTGTTGTTCAAAGTCAGGACCCCAAGATTGTAGCGGGGAAGAAAAGGCCTACTCCTCACCTTTGTATGTTTCCTTTCATTCAGCGCAGTGATGGTTTGAGATGTTACTGCAGCGCTCATAAAGAGAAGCTGATCATTTCACTTTACAGCCTGTTTGACCGAGCCTCTGGGTGCACTCAGCCTGTCGCAAAGTGACATTAAGTTCACTTTGATACAGTATAAACCCTCAAACAGCAGAGCTGAAGAAGCAGGGCTCCAAACTTTTGTTTAAAAAAAAAAAAACTGCTTTATTTGTGCACCTAGGAGGTTGTTTGTTTTGTTTACAGTCACACAGTAAATGCCATACTTTCAAGAAAACTTTAGGCTTTTGAAAAAGTGACGCCTGTATTAATCCTCCACAAGTCAGATTAATTTAAAATCTGTTTAGTTACAGCTGTTTGTTTCACAGATGTTAAGTTGACAGGAGTATTAAATATGTTGTGGTCAGAAAATACAAAGAAAAAACTGGGAAACAGTTGACACACGTTAGACCAGACTGATATAAACTTTTGCCTAATTTGTTTCAAATGTTAAAAATATGAAGCTGGTGATTTTCACTGCCATTAATAAAGATGAAAATGTTGAATGCATTTCATGTGTCGTGTGTGAAGATCACGACTCGCCTCTGAGGATTCTGTCTACAGCTTCCGTGATGCATTTAAAGACAGATTAAGTTTTACTCGCATTATGTTCTGCACGTTAATTACTGATGACAACGTGATAGGACCAATAAGAGAGATTATCAAACGTTCTTTTGCAAGGGAGGCCTGGGCCTGAAGGCAGCGTAACAATTGATGTTGTTGGACTGTGGGAGGAAACCCACACTAACACGAGGAGAACATGCAAACTCCACACAGAAAGATCCCCGGTCCAAGCGGGGATTGAACCCAGGACCTTCTTCCTGTGAGGTAACAGTGCTAACCACTAATCCATTGTGCTGCCATTTTATACGCTTCACAATACAGATAAAATAATTAATTCTAAAACTGGAAATGTTCTTAGCTCTGGTTTATTTTATTATTTATTTTCTTTCAGCTGCTCCCTTCTTCAGGGGTCGCCACAGCGAACTAAGTCGCACAAAGATTTGGCAATAATTTTTACGCCAGATGTTCTTCCTGACACAACCACAGCCCACCGAGCTACCACAGCCCTCTGTGAGGTGCAGAAAACTGGGGGAGCAGATGGTGGGGGTTAAAGGCCTTGCTCAAGGGCCCAGAGTGGAGCAAATGAGGTTGGAGGCAGGTGTGGGTGTTTCATCTTTTCCACCCACATTTTGATGTCGTTGAACCGGTGACCTTCCAATCACAGAACCACATTATTTAACTTCTGCGCCACCACTCCTGGTTTATATTATTATTATTATTATTATCGTTGTTGTTGTTGTTTTGGCTGCTCCCTTCTTCAGGGGTCACCACAGCGTATGATAAATTTGGTGATTGATTTAAGCCGAATACTCTTCCTGATGCAACCTGGGCTTGAACCTGCAGCCTCAGGGTTACAAGACAGTGACACAGACCACCGAGCTACAGCTGCATTTTCTCATCCTAACAATAAATAAAGGAACATATATATACATATACATATATACATATATAT